GAACCATCCCATACAAAATACAAGTTACTGAGCCAAATTACAAACCTCTTCGGAAAATAATGTGAGCTGTATCGTGATTTCAACACACCTTCAGGGAGACGGATATCGAATATCTTAAATATATATACTTAGTAGAGGTGTTACAAGTGGAATGACAAATTTAATATACCCTCCCTTCCACGATGGAGGTTATAACCAGAAGATCCTGGACTATTGAAAAATTAATTCTTGAAAACTCCACAATTCCGTTTTTAAAAATCCTATGGGGCTCTTGGAAAATAAATTCTTTAAAATTCAAATCAGCTGCTAAAAAATAACAGAATCCATAAAAAATTAATTCCTAAAAAGCCGACATTCTTAGAAGAGGAATTGTGAATTCAAAAGATCCTTGATAACAAAATTCTGAAAAATCTACGATGTCCTTCAAAAAAAAATTTCAACTCGAAAACATTCATAAAAAGTCCATGATTTTTATCAAGGAGTCCAGCTAAAGGTTCTCTATAAAAATAACAGATTTTTGGCCGGGAGATTCTTACAAAAGTTTAAAAAATTAAATTTTTGGTCAGAGTTTCATGGTTTTTAGACAGTGGGTTATAGAAAATATCTTGTTTCTACGAATTGTGTTCCGGACGTCCTTGGTTTTGTTTTTCTTCAATTTATAATTTGTGCCTTCGGTTAAAACCATTTTTCCACAATTTTCTAGAGTCCTTTTCTTAAATTAGGGCTGTTGAAAAAAATTTATATAACCAATATGGTTTTTGGTAAGGAGGACCCTGAAAAGATTAATTTTTAAATCCATCTTCTTAAAATAAATTCTTAAAATTCGCTTTTTTTCCTCCACATTGTCGGAAGACTTTTTTATTTTAAAAATCCACGATTTTCAGTCAGAAAGTCTTTAACAACAATTCTTGAAAATTTGTTCCAAAAATTGCCGATGTTTGGAAAACAGGCCCTTAAAAATATGTTTTAATGTTTTTTTATAAAATCTCCACAAATTTGGCTCAGCATATCCTTGGTCTGAAGAAAATTGTAAAACAATTTTTAACAAGTTCTCGATTTTCTAGAACGTTCTTATAATTCCTCGATTTTGAAAAATGCATGAAATGTCGTTAGAAGGTGCTCGAAAAAAATTCCCCTTGATTAACTATAAAATCTCCTCCCGACTAACCAATAACCCTTGTTTTTACATTGAAAACCAAAAATTTGTTTTTTTATATCCGTCTTAAATAATTATTAAAGTTTTTCCAACTAGTGGTTTTAAATATTAAATATTTAACACACATTCCCACCACCGCTGTCTTATTTCTTTGAACTCATTTCTCTCACGCCACTCAAAAGGGCTGTAAGAAAATTTTCGCTGCCCCGCCAAAAAAATGCAATTCTCCGAAGCATTACTTTGATCTGTGTGTATGTGTCTGTGTGCAAGTGAAATTGAAATTGGTTTCGTTTTCATGCCATCCTCGCTTTTATTTATATATATGTTGTTTTATCTTTTTTTTGGGAGGGTTTTTTGTTTTGCCATCATGTATGAAGGCGAAACGATGCTTTACAGTTTCCGTTTCCGATTTTGAAGTGCCCAACATGAGGGGCATGCACTGCACTGGTTTCAATATACATTTATTCCCCCCAAAAAAGGACGAGAATACGCTTGAGTGTGTTTGGAAATTGTTTTGTTACACTGAGAAAAATGAAAGTAACAATAATTGCGGAAATAATGGCCCATATAAGCTTTCCATCTATCCAATAAAAAATGTGGATGAGAACTGTAAACATATAAAATTTTTAGATCTTATTTTTAGCTCAACCTTCATAATCTGGGGTTTTCCTGTATTTATACCCTACACCACATAGTAGGCTTTGTGCATTTGTTTGTAACATGGAGAAGGAAGCAAGGTAGACGTATAGTTATTTTAGAGGATTATCATAGAATCACTTTCTTAGTCGATTTATGCATGTCAGTTCCTCTGTCCATGTATACTTGGGACAAAATGCAGGTCGTATTTATTATCCGATGGAGATGAAATTTTCCAAACAATATTTATTTGGCCCAAGGATGAATCCTATTGAAATTGGTGAGAATCGGAAAAAAAATTTAAAATAGCTTTCATATATATCATCCGATTACGGGTTAATTGTGCACCAAATGGCCAATATTAGTCCAAATGAACTTAATTTTGGCAAATCCAACCAAATTCAGCCTAGAAGCAAGTATATCACATTTTGTGAAGTACAAGTATAGTACATCACAAATATAGCTATAGCTCCCATAAACAGGGTGAGATGAAAAAACTGCAATAAACTTCAGACTGCTGTCATTCCTAAGCCACTCGTCCGACAGCTGTTAAAATTATTCCAGTGATACCTCATTTTATTGTTTACAGTCTTAAAAAAACATTTTGGTGAGAATTTTCCAGAAAAAAAGTTATTTGTGAAGAAATTCAAGCGTGATAGTGTGATTTCTTTATATTTTGCTGGAAAACCACAAGTGGCTATCGTTAGAACACTCCAGCATTTAAATGTGAATAAATCTGTTGTGTCTCGTACCATCTCGTACAGCAACATCAGTAGAAATTGTTCGGAAAGTAAAGAAGCGACTTGATCGAAACGCGCGTCGCAGTGGCCGACAGATGGCTCGTGAGCTGAACATATCGCAATATTCCATTCGGAAAATATTGAAAAATGAGATTGGGGTAAAGCAATTGAAATTTCAAAAAGTTCAAGAATTTACATCGCAACAGAAAGAAAATAGACTCAAAAGAGCTAAAGAGTTGCTTCGCTTGGCCACTTCACCACTTACGTGAATTGTCGAATTTGGTTTTATCCGATGAGAAAACATTCGTTGTCCAGCAGTTTGTAAACAAACAAAATGATCATTTTTACTTGCCAAGGAGGTCTGTGTACCTTCGGTTGGCCACCAGAACTCAAGGACCGGCCATAGTGATAGTGTGGGCCGCCATAACAGCCGATGAGCGCTTTCCTCTCGTATTAATCGACCGTGGCATCAGAATAAATGCCGAATATTATAGCGAAAATATTCTGGAGGGTGTATTAAAACCTTGGGCATGCAAACATTTTGGCCGCAGTCGCACTCAGCACGCGCCACCCAAGAATGGTTACAAAATGAGGTTCTTCGCTTCATTTCCAGCGCACAATGGCCAACAAAATCTCCGTATACCAATCCGTTGGACTATTGTGTCTGGAGTATTTTGGAAAGCAAGGTTGGCACTATAAAATACCAAAGTGTCGAACACCTCAAGCAAGCGCTTCGCCCGGAATAGTACGAAAATACCGCAGAGCAACATTTGGGCAGCGTGTGACGGTTTCATTGCCCGTTTGATGGCCATAATGCGTGCCAAAGGTGATCAATTCGAACAAATTTAAACTTATTCTAAAATTTGATGCTGTTACCGACACTTTTTGCTTTCATTCAATAAAATCTGAAGAAAATGTAAAAATGATGGCTTTTGACTTGGTTGCAGTTTTTTTATCGCACCCCGATATTTGATATTTTGACGATTTTAGAAACTTTATTCACAGGAGTTGTTTTAAGTTTCGTAATGGAAAATGCCGCCTACGACAAAAAATTGCGTATGCAGGCCCACGTTTCCGTATAGCTTGCATATAACAGTTCCTCCCAATATTTGGCATTTTAATGATTTTAGCGACATTATTCACCAGAGTTGTTTCAAATTTCGTATCTAGGGTTCGTAATGGGAACAGGTCCCGGTCTTAATATAGCCCCCATATATCAGTACCTCCCTATATTCGGTACTTTGAAATTGTTTGAAATTTCGTATTTAAAGTTCCTAATCGGTACTACAGCATGTGACAGAAAATTTTCTATACAGGTCCAGGTCTTCTCATAGGCTGTACCTCCCTATATTCCGTATTTTGATGATTTTAGCTGCATTATTCACCGGATTCAAGTTTCGTATTTGAATGACCTATTGTGAGCTGCCTATGCAGGTCCAGAGCCCAATAAAAAGGCTATATTCGGTATTTTTTAAAATCTTAACAGAATTTTTAACGGAATTTTTAGCGGAATTTTTAGCGGATTTTTTCCCAGACAAAAAACAAGGGAACTGATTAGGATTGGTGGCTCTTTCCGAAACCTAAGTATTCCCCTGACCATTTTGCAATAATTATATATTAATAGACAAGGCACGGTCGACGAAGGGGTTCCTCTTCTATTGAGCTTACGATCTCGCCACTTGTGTAAAAAAAGTTTTTTGTCATAGAAGTTTTTTTTTTAAATAACTTCTGGGGAGAATATCCCAGACAAAAACAAGGGAACTGATGAGGATTGTTGGCTCATTCCGAAACCTAGGTATTCCCTGCCTTACCCTCTGGTAAACATTGCCATTGTTCTCCACAAATAAACAGACATTGTTTTTATAAGAATAACAATAAAGGTATTAAAGGTACCATTTTACAACAACAGGATTTTATTTATTTTTTTTTTAATTTCCAAATTTGTTCCAAATGGTGTAGGGTATTCAAAGTCCGGCCCGGCCGAACTTACTGCTTTTTTACATATTTTTAGATCAACTTTCATAATCTGGGTTTTTCCTGTATATTTTTTTTTGTGTTTCCCAATAGAACCATAGACTCCAAGTTTCAAGGTTCTGCATCGTAGTCTTGAATTTCACAGTCTTCTTTCATTCTCAACTAGCAAAAGTAATCCCAAAAAAGAACGATAAACCCATATTTTGGTAATTTTGAGGTAGTCAGAGGAAATTTTATTAGATTTTGAGATTATTTGGATTTTAATGAAGACTATGCAGGTTCAGCCCCTTTCGACTTTAATGCCGTTGCTACTTTAACATTCTACTCTTCAATATCCCATTCAGCCTCACCAAACCCGTTTTAATTTTACATTTTTCTTCTAAGTGTATCCCCTTATATTCACATCTAAATTTTTACCTATGTATGAGTACACTTCTATATCCGACAAAAAAAAATATTGGATTCATATATGCCACCATATTCACAATACTAACCTGTTACATTTGCTGATGTTGAATTCCAATTCTGCCAGTCATCAATTTCGGTGAAATTCACATCAAACATTTGACAGCTGCTATACTTCTCTGCACCACGATTGTCCTTTGACCTGTGTGAGAGTGGTTGTGTGTGTGAGTGTGTGAAAGAGGATATTGTGAAATATCAATAGTTGTGTTATAGCCACGCTGGTATCCCGACATAAACGGATATATGTTTGTGTGTGTGTGTGTGTCTTGTGGACCAAGCTTTGCATGTTCGATGATGACATTTATATGAAATGCAAATTTGAAAAATGAAATTTTAAACGCAACTCTTGACAATTTATTACAGCTGTAGAGGCAAAAATTGATAGACATTTGTTCGTTCGTGTGGATATACGTGTGTGTGTGTGGGTGATGTGCACATATGTCCTCGATATTGAGGACTTCCACTCGAAATCGAGAGAGCATCGAGAACAACACTACGACAGCAGTAGAGGTAGTAGCGTAAAATGTCACAAAATTGTCAAAAATTACTTATCAAATATTTATCATTCATATTGCGATTCCCAGGGCATTCGAACATACACACACACATAAAAGCACACACCCACACAATGACAATCTCTAGTCATGGCCATAGGAATACTCACTTGGGCAGTGTTATTCGTCGCCATTCATCCAATGTAAAATTAGTTTGTTCTCTTCCCGGCACTGTACACCAATGATCGGGTATATTTAAGGCTAAAATAATATTCATATAACACATGGCACCGGCCATTGACAGGCCCATCACAAACAGGATATTATACATCAATTGAAATCGACCATGATTGCCAGCCTTCTCCATAATGGCTTGGAAAGGATCCTCCTCAACTTCGTCGCTTTCTTCGGCATTTGATTTTTTGTCTGGATCCGCAATGGAACCATTACGTTTCTCATTGGCCATTTCTGATTTTTCCATTTTTAACGATCTGACACTCCGCTCAGCAGAAACTCCGAATTAAATCTAACGAAAGATAGAAAACAAATGACAACCAAATTATTTTACATTGAATTTAATTCGAAATCTCTTATCAACGACGCACGTCGATGTCGATCGTTCGTCAACTTTTATGGATGAAATTATTTGCCAACTTTTATTTGCTCACCCTGATTTCTAGCGCAACTTTATGACGGTGTTGGATGGCGATTTGTGTGATTTTATATCTCCTAAATTTAAATTTGTTCTCTAATTGCTATCATAACCTCTGATAAGGAGTCAATTCAAGTCAGCGGAATTTTTCGAAATTGTAATCGCATAGGGAACATGATGAAATTCAAAATCCACCAGATATCTAATCAATGTTTCAGTTCTGGTAATAAAGGTTAATAAAAATGGAATAGACCGGAGAAAATAATGGGATAGGTCTGAGGCCTTTGTATTTTGATTATAACCTTCTTAGCGTTACGATTACGCACGTTTTCTTAATGGGCCTTTTTTTTTTTGATTATTATGGGAACTATATGCGTATGGGATGGCAATTTTTGTGTGTAACGTTCAGGGAATTCCTGCTGTTTTTGGGTTTGTAGGTACATTTTCAACAATAAATTCACATTAAGAAAAACATATCCAAGGATATTACGCTCAGCTTTTGTCCGATTTTGTATCATGAAGACTTTCAAAAATTTTGAAATTTTTTTGATTTTCATAATCTCCGAAACAAAATTAAAATGGAAATATAAAATCCAGAATTTTTTCCAAGTCCTTGAGAAATACAACATTGTAAAAGTGCTTGTTAAGTAATTAAAAAAAGCTTCGACTCTCTGCTAATTTTTAGATTTTTTAAATACTTAATCGGAATTACTTATTCTTAAAAAACTTTTGCCTACAAAATCTAATCTTTTTTAATTTTTCCCCTTGAAAAATGAATAAAAAAAATTAAATTGCATATTTGCATTTAAGAAATATATTTAAATATAAACTACCCCAAGTCAGGTTTTACACAAAGTCCTAGACAAATATTTTCCCCAGAAAATAATAATAATAATAATAATAATAATAATAATAATAATAATAATAATAATAATAATAATAATAATAATAAGAATAATAATAATAATAATAATAATAATAATATAATAATAATAATAATAATAATAATAATAATAATAATAATAATAATAATTATAATAATAATAATTATAATAATAATAATAATAATAATAATAATAATAATAATAATAATAATAATAATAATAATAATAATAATAATAATAATAATAATAATAATAATTAATTGTAATAATAATAATAATAATAATAATAATAATAATAATAATAATAATAATAATAATAATAATAATATAATAATAATAATAATTAATAATAATAATAATAATAATAATAATAATAATAATAATATAATAATAATAATAATAATAATAATAATAATAATAATAATAATAATAATAATAATAATAATAATAATAATAATAATAATAATAATAATAATAATAATAATAATAATAATAATAATAATAATATATAATAATAATAATAATAATAATAATAATAATAATAATAATAATAATAATAATAATAATAATAATAATAATAATAATAATAATAATAATAATAATAATATAATATAATAATAGTAATAATAATAATAATAATTATAATAATAATAATAGTAATAATAATAATAATAATAATAATAATATAATAATAATAATAATAATAATAATAATAATAATAATAATAATAATAATAATAATAATAATAATAATAATAATAATAATAATAATAATAATAATAATAATAATACTAATAATAATAATAATAACAATAATAATAATAACAATAATAATAATAACAATAATAATAATAATAATAATAATAATAATAATAATAATAATAATAATAATAATAATAATAATAATAATAATAATAATAATAATAACAATAATAATAACAATAATAATAATAATAATAATAATAATAATAATAATAATAATAATAATAATAATAATAATAATAATAATAATAATAATAATACTAATAATAATAATAATAATAATAATAATAATAATAATAATAATAATAATAATAATAATAATAATAATTATAATAATAATAATAATCATAATAATAATAATAATAATAATAATAATAATAATAATAATAATAATTATAATAATAATAATAATAATAATAATAATAATAATAATAATAATAATAATAAACCGGCAAAACAGGAAAAATCTGGATTTTTAAGTTGCTCTAGAGGTCTCAATTATGAACCAATCGACTCGGAATTTTGCATGGAACTGGAACTGAAAAGCCAACCAATTTGGATGGTCATCGAATATTATTTAGCCCTTGTAAAAGACCATAACTTTTATATAAAAAATAAGGACATTTCCATTAAACCGCGAATATTTGTATACCCTTCACCATAGTAACACCTCGAAATATTAATTTTAGATCCCACAATCCTTGATCAGCATAAAAATCTATGTCGATTTAGCGTTGTTTGTCCGTCCGGGTGTCCGTCTGTGGAAATCACTCTACCTTCCGAACGAATTAAAGTAGGTTGATAAAATCGTACTCAAATGTGTGTTGGTCTGCAGGACTTTTGGTATTGAAAATGGACTATATATAGGTCCACGTTTTGGTATAGCCCCCATATACAGGGTTGCCCATATTCGACGGACCCATCTGGAAACGCCATAACTTTTGACAGAGATGTCACATCGCTTAATGACATACCGCGTTAGAAGCGTCAGTCCAAGCAGATTTTTACCATGAACCAATACACGCCACGCGAGCGCTCTGAAATAGTTGAAATTTACATTCAACAGAAGAAGTCAATTGTGAAAATTCAACGTGCTTTTAAAACATTAAAAAATGAGAGAAGTGCGCCTTCTAAGAACACCATTAAGCGTTTATACGAAAAATTTTCGACTGGTAAGGCTCTTTCTAATCCGAAGAGGCCATATAAAAGTCGACCAAGGCGATCGGCCGAGAATATCGCTGCCGTACGAGCCAGTGTTGAGAGATCCCAAAGACGCCGTTCGCAGCAGTTGGGCATGGCTCGGTCCACTTTACAACGGATTATTCGCATTGATTTGCATTTGTTCCCGTACAAAATTCAATTGACGCAAATAATGTTGCCTACGGACAAGCCTCGTCGATTGGCATGGGCTCAAAGAGTCATGGGTCCGTCGAATATGGGCAACCCTGTAATGGTACCTCCCTACTGTAATGGTACCTCCCTACCGGCGATGTTTCAAATTTGGCATTTGAAGTTCGTAGTGGATACTACAGCCTATGACCGTGCAGATGCTCCTTCGCATACCCCCTATATAACGGCACCTCCCGACAGTCGGTACTTTGATGATTTTAGCGACATTATTCACCTGAACCGTAGTGGATACTACAGCCTAACACAAAAAATGGTCTGTGCAAGTCGACGTCTTCGTATAGCCCCCATACAACGGTTCCTCTCGATATATTTTTTTGATGATTTTAGCGACATTATTCACCGGAAATGTTTCAAATTTGGTATTTAAAGTTCGTATAGCTGTCATATAACGGTACCTCCCTATATTCGGTATTGTGATGTTTTGAACTACATTATTTGCCAATTTTTTTTTTCAAGTTTCGCATTTGAATATTGTTATGGCTTATGACAAAAGTTGCCTATACAGGTCCACCTCGTCGTATAGACCATAAATATAACGGCTACATTCAGTATATTTAAGATTTTAAGAGAATGTTTAACGGATTTTATATTTTGAAAATTGCACAATTCGTTCCAAATGTTGGAGGGTATTCAAAGTTCGGCCCGTGGGAGCTTACACCTTTTTTACTTGTTTCTAGTTAATTACAAATACACGAAAAGGTCACTTCTGACCATTACACTAATGCTGATATCCAAAGTATCGCATACATATATATATACCATGACATACATCAAAGAAGGGGATTTTAGTAAGACCGCTTACAACTCAAGAGCGGCTGGTCGGATTTTGACAATGGCCACCAATTCAGAATTTCCGTTTAAAATATAAATCATATTTGTTTCTAAGCGGTTACAACTAATGTAATTAATTCCTGTTTTAAAATCATTGTTGGCATTATTTCTCCGTTCGAACATGGGTAGACCCACAAACAATTCCAAATACCGTGACAATTTTCTTATATTTATGCCCTCTGTCGTGATTGTGGAAACTCGAAACCACATTTGTAAGTCTAGATTTAAGAGTAAAATTTTTGTGTACAGGGTTGCCCATATTCGACGGACCCATCTGGAAACGCCATAACTTTGGACAGAGATGTCACATCGCTTAATGACACACCGCGTTTAAAGCGTCAGTCCAAGCAGATTTTTACCATGAACCAATACACGCCACGCGAGCGCTCTGAAATAGTTGAAATTTACAAGAAGTCAATTGTGAAAACTCAACGTGCTTTTAAAACATTAAAAAATGTGAGAAGTACGCCTTCTAAGAACACCATTAAGCGTTTATACGAAAAATTTTCGACTGGTAAGGCTTTTTTCTAATCCGAAGAGGCCATATAAAAGTCGACCAAGGCGATCGGCCGAGAATATCGCTGCCGTACGAGCCAGTGTTGAGAGGTCCCCAAAAACATCCCAAAAACGCCGTTCTCAGCAGTTGGCCATGGCTCGGTCCACTTTACAATGGATTATTCGCATTGATTTGCATTTGTTCCCTGCGGACAAGCCTCGTCGATTGGAATGGGCCTAAAGAGTCATCGAAATGGCCGAAAAAAACATGGGTCCGTCGAATATGGGCAACTCTGTATATCCGATTTCAGACTATATAAGTCTACGAAATCGGCATCAATTTAAATATTCATCGTTTGATAGTAACTTTCAGTATTAAAAAGGTTAGCGATTGAATGGGCATTTTGGAATTTTCAACACAAAAATAGAAATCTTCTTTGCCGGACATAGGAAACCGGGAGAGCTTAATTAACTTGCCACTTGTTCCACATAC